TCGTGCTGAGCCTGTGGCTGGGGTGCCATATCCTCCACTATTTCTTCCTCTTGGAGTCAAAGTGGACATGCATCTCCCTTGGGATCAGGGAAGGGTGTGCACTCTTGTGCTCTTGATAGCTCGTGTCTGCGTGTTGGGGCCTGGGGGCCACCCTGCCACCCTGCCCTTAAGGTCCTCTTCCTCGCAACAGCCTTTCCTCTGGTTTTGGTCCAGGCACTCATAGATACCCCCACACAAGGGGCCCTCAGTAGGCACCACCCAGTGAGTCTTGGTGACCTGCCCGGGAGTCGGTGGGAAACAGGTGCAGCTGGGTACAGGTGGGGAGGGGCCATCTGGTCCTGGGAGCCCCATGCTGGCTCACATGCTGGCTCAGGGGTCTTCCAGGAGTGCAGGCTCGGGTTGTGGGCAAGGAGAAGCACATAGGATTGAGTGCGTGGCCTGCGTGAGCCCTGCTGGGTTGCTCCCTACAGCCCTGGCTGTGAGCCATGGGGGTGTCCGTTCCAGGGCCTGGGTCTGCCCCAGACACTCTGGGCCATCCTCAGAAGCAGACTTACCTGAGCTAATGCCCACCTGGGCACAGGAGAACCTGTCATCTCTGGGGCTGCCCTCAGGCCTGGGCATGCAGGTAACATGGAACCCCCCAGGGAACAAAGGGATCCTGTGGCCTGGGCTCTGCTCTGACCTCTGCCAGGGCTTCTGGCAGGTCTGGGGCTGTGGGGCATGTTCTTGGAAGGAGCAGGGCGCCCAGGCAGTGCCCGAGCCCCAGGATGAGAAGTGAGGTGCAGGCGAGCTCTGTCCCCACTGGCAGCGGGGTCCCCATCCTGCAGCCCAGCTGGACGGGGACATCACCCATCCTGGCTGAGGGGGCCCACAGTGAGCACCCTGCTGTGTGGGCCGCAGGGCCCTGGCTTGGCATTGGTCTGGGTGCTTCCTGAAAGTGGGCTGGGCCCAGGGTCCTTGGGCACCTCTTGCCTGCCAGCTGCAGGCTGGGGTGGGTGTGGAGGCCCACTTGTGTGGCCAAGGCGGGCATGGATGGCTTGTCTTAAGTGTCGAGCGGGGTAAAAAGTCCTGAGAGCTGAGCAGAAACAGTCCGGGTTCCAGCACTCAGCAGGCCTTTTTGGGGTCAGTCTCGCCACGAGCAGACATTGAGGGAGGGCATCAAGGTCCCTGCAAGGGGCAGCCTGGGAGCACAAGATCCCTGCCTGCAGGGACCTTTTCCCATCCTCCTGTCTGCCTGCCTGGCCGGGTGGGTGGGCACCTGGCTGCCCACTTGTGAAGGGTTGCCATGCCCTCTTCTGCGGCAGCCGGAGTTCACCGGAGCACAATTACCTTGCAAATATCCCAGGTTTACCCGATTCATGACATCACTGGCTGTTAAATTTGCTACATCCTCTACGGAACACACAGGAAGAGGGACAGACAGAAACAGAGAGAGAGAGGGGTCAGCAAGCAGCCTGCAGTGGGGGTGGCCAGCAGCACACGGGAGGCCGTCCACAGCGGGGCTGCCTGGGAGGCCAGTCTATCACTGATGGCTCCTCAGCCACGCTCAGGCTGGAGCCGAGGCCGAGGGTAATGCAGGGCAGATGACAGCTCTGCAGTCTGGGGGTTGGTAATCTCCCTCTGCTAATGCTGTGGGGCTACGAGCTCTGGACGACCCCGGGTGCCCTGCTTGGAGCTGTGACATCAGTGCACCCTGGGAAGGGACACCTGGGTAGGGACTCCAAGAGGGGACAGAGGTACATCTTGCAGTGTCAGCATGGCAGAGATGGGGCTGGGATGGCTGTGTGGGTCCCTGTTCCCCAAACCCTGGCCTCTGAGATTCCTCTGGAACCAGGGTGCACAGCCAGTGGATGGCCCAGCCTGAGTGACCCCTGGGCAGCTACTGGGACAACCCTGGGCTGCCTGATTCCACTTGAAATGGGGCTCAATGGCTCTTGACCCAGATGACAAATGACAGATGACAGGAAACAAGGCGGGGAGAACAGGCACCAGCTTCAGGGCAGAGCCTCGCCCCAGCCCCGGGGGGGACTCGGCCGGGCAGTGGCGGGGAGCTTGGGCCCCCTTCAGCCCCAACAGAGGTAGCGTCTTGCAAGTCCAGGAGGGGCCAAGCTTCTCTCTGGGCCAGCCAGGGCACTCCAGGCCAGCTGTTGGTCAAGGCCACAAATGTGTCCCCAAAACAGACTACGGAGAAAAGGGGCTGCCAAAATGGGCTGTGGAACACAGGCATCTGGGGGTGTCACTGTGAAGCAGAGCAAATGGGTCACTCCCCCTATGCTCTGGCTGCTGAGAGGGCCAGAGGATAGTGGCCCGAGGGCTCGGGGTCTGCCTGCCACAGTCCTGTTCCCTAGGACAGTAGAGCAGGCTCCTGAGCCCTCGATTCCAGCAGGACTGGCTGGAGGCGGCCAGTCTGTCCCCAGCCACGGCCTGGCCCTCCCCACCCCACAGCCTGATTCTCCAAGAGCCTTGCACACGGAGCTTGGCCCACACCAGTCCCTTATTTTACACATGGGAGCCTGAGGCCCCAAGCATGGGGGCAAGTGCCCTGCAAAGGGGCCCAGGCCAGTTTCGGGGGGTCCCGCATCCTCCCCCCAGCAGATGGGCTGTGACATCCACGCGGAGCGCCTGGAGCTGGGCCCAGCAGCAAGGTGGGCAGAGGAGCCGGCGGGCAGGAGGAGGCCCTGCAGCGTCCCGCCTGCGTGTGTGCCCGGGCCCTTACCGTAGCCGGTGGTGGGCAGCCCCAGGTGCTTCATGCGGTTCCGGACCAGCTCCGAGAGCTCCTGCCGCTCTGAGCGCTGGTGCAGGCCGGGCCGCCTCTGGCCGGTGCACTCGGTGGCCACTGCTCTCCCCACGTCTGTGGGGCTCCCGCGGCTCCGCCTCCGGGCCCACTGCAGGCTCTTCCGCCGCAGCTCGCCACCAGCCACGCCCGGGCCGTAGGTGCTGCCTCCGCGGGTTCTGGCCCGTGCGCCCCAGGGCCCCCTCACCTCCCGCGTGTCCTCGAAGTCCTCCATGCTCACTGCGGTCTGGGATGGCCAGGGGCACAGGGGTGAGGGATGGCAGGACTATGTTGATGGGGGCCCCACACTGCCCAGCCCCAGCCCTGCTGCAGGTCCACCGTGATTTGCTGGGTGGGTGAAGGCAGCCCACTGAGCCTCTCTGGGCCCTCATTTCCCAGGTCGCCTCAGAGCCCTGCACGGCCGCATTTTGGAGGGTCACTCTCTGTGCCTCAGTTTCTCCATTGTAGGGGCGGGAGAGGGCAGAGGTGAGGAATGTGGTGGTCTGGGAAACACCAGGACCTGTGAGGGGCTCAGTGGGCCCACAGGGCTCAGGGAGGGGGTGATGCAGAGGCCCCATCAGGGCAGTGCCGGGAGGCTGGGTCTGGGGGTCCAGAGGTTGGGCCTGACCAGCTGGGAGGTGGGGATGTGTACTGCCATGATGGGCCAAGGTGGGAGGTGGCACACGGTCCGTGGCGGGAGCCTGGGCCTGTTTCCTGTCCGTACAGGGGGCTGGTACCATGAGCCCACTCTGGGCCACACTATGGCTGACATGCTAGAGACTTGCTCCCTGACCTTGCAGGTGCCCAGAGCCCAGGGCCCTGCAGCCCCCGGGACCCGGTGGATGTGGGGTCAAGCAGGACTCTGCACACACCAAGACACCTCAGTGTTAAGCTTGAAGTGGCCACTCACCTGGGCTCTGAGGTCATGGGGCTGCAAAGGAGACTAGGGCAGCCTGGGTGTGGGGCTTCGCCCCAGCGCCCAGACACTCCTGAGCCCCTTGTGGGCTTGGCACCAGCAGGCAGGCTGCCCACTGCAGTTCGGGATGGTACAGGGAACCCTGTGCTCTCAAGACTCCCCTCGACTGGGGGTTCACAGCCACCCAAGTGGACACCCGTGTATGGGGCAAGTGGACCTAATCCCAGAAGGGCCCAACAGCAGAGGTCCAAGTCCCCAAAGCCACACAGGGAAGTGGGGGGCCTGGGGGGCCTGCTCAGTTCCTCGGGGCCCCCACGAACCTCGGAGCCAGAGAAGACATGGCACTCAGTCCTGTAGATGCCGATGGGGACCTCGGCGCTGGAGGAGCACAGCTTCTGGAAGAGGCGGCCGTATGTGCGGATCCACAAATCGCCCTCAGTGACCTTCATCTGGGACACACGGTGCTCTGAGCGGCAGCCTGCCTCACCCCTTGGCTGCAGGGCTCACCCATGGGCAAGGGACAGAGGCCTCCTGGGAGTGGCCCGCCCACTGCCCTGGCCCGGCCCGGGCCACTTACCGCACAGAGGTAGCCGGAGCCCGGCGTCGTGTCAAGGCCCAGCAGCAGCCTGGTGATGGAGATCATGTAGTCCTTCACAAAGGACTGGTGGGGGAGGGAGGCTGCCGTGAGGCCGGGGCACGGCGCCACCCACAGCCGCCCACACAGGCGCCCAAAGCTGCCACGACTAGCAGGTGAAAGCCGGAAGCTCCCTGGCCCAGGTGATTCAGGTGCGTGAGGTCGAAGGGCTCAGGCCCCCACCCTTCTGGGGGAAGCCTGGGGGTGGCTGGAGGAGAGCCACCCAGTCTCAGCCTCCCCAGGACCCAGGAGGGATGCTCGGAGGTAGGCCGGGTGTCAGCTCCCATCACCACTGACCTGATAGAGCAGCGTGTCCAGCATGCTGATGCTGAAGACGCGGCCCGCGGCGAAGGGCAGGCGGAACATGAAGGCCAGGTTGGAGCCGTTCTCACGCTCCCTCTGTGGGAAAGTGGGGCCTCAGCCTCGCCGGTGCCCAGGGCCACAGCGGCCCAGGCCAGTGACCAGGGCACACGCGTGTGCGCACGCACACATGCTGACCCCAGGCCTGTGGACCCCACTATGGTGCCCCCAGAGCTCAGGAGTAAGTGTTTGGGGCCCTGACGGGAAGACAGTGGGACCCGAGGCCTGCCACAGGTGTGTGGCCTGGGCATCAGCCGGGGCCCAGGCTTGGTGTAGCGCTCTGCTGTCACTGTCCTCAAGTTCTTCATGATCTGAGTGACTTTTCCTTGGACTTGTGTTTGTAAGAGAATCCACAGGGGCAGCAGAGGTGGCAGGACCCCGTGAGGCCGTCCGCCTCCTGCTCATCACGCCGTTCCTGTGCTCCACGGGCACCGAGGCAGCTGGAACGCGTTCCCACAGGCTCAGCCGCTCAGCCCAGCACGAGTCTGTTCTCTTGGCCCTGGGCGTCGGGGGTCTGAGTGGGCTGCAGCGGCGGGGGCCCGGGCGCCAGGGCCACACCACCGGGAGCAGGGGCGGTCCTCTGCTTCGCTGTTCCCGGCTTCGAGAGGCCGGCTGCTGGCTAGTGGCCCCCTCCTCCATGCTCGTGACCCGCCATGTGGCACCTTTCAGTCTCACTCTGACCTGCCTGCCACCCTCCTGGGACCCTGGTGATGGCGCTGGGCTGGCCGCGGGGACACCATCTGTCAGGTCATTGGCTTCATCCCCTCTGCACAGCCCCTTGGGCCATATCCCATGTTTGGCCCGGAGCCTGGCAATAAGGATGCGGACATCTTTGGGGCCATTGTCTCCTCCACCTGAGGTCCTCTGCCACCGGGGCTGCTCACGTGCCATGCTTCAGTGCTCTGGGCCTGAGCCTGGGATGCGACTGCGTGACTGCAGGGACCCCAAGTGACATGCTCCCAGGTTTGCGCTGGGACTCACAGCACGTTGAAAGCAGGATTGAGAAGATGCCCGAAGTCGTTAAACCGTCAGTGTCCTTTATACTCAGAAGAATGCTGAGACGGAAGAAAGCACACACTGCTTGAGGGACACTGCTGGGTGGGGGTGCGGGGCACCTAGCACCTCTCAGAGCTGTGGTTTTGGAACAAGGGCCCCATGTTTTCATTCTGTGCAGACCCCAAATTCTGCAGCCGGCCCTGGAGGGACCCGAGGGCTTGACCAGAGCTTCAAGGTTACAGGCGAGTGAGACGCAGGGACACTTCCTGGGAACAGGGGCCTCGCAGACAGAGTGGGACCTGGAGGCAGACAGGCCAGGCAGCTGGTCACAGGCAGAGGTCCTGCTAGAAGCACTTTTCAGATGCATGAGAATGTTGGAACAATGACACCACCAAGGATCCGGGGTCCTGGGGCAGGGACAGGGCAGGGGCAGCCCCTCATCTCGCCTCGGTTCTTGGAGATCTTCCGGAGAGACACCCTCGGGGGAGACAATGGAGACCAGGCTGCCCCCGGCGCCCCCTTCCCTCCACTGTTGGCAGGGCTCTTCTCTCGTGGAGCCACAGGTGCTCCAGCGTCCCTGCCACCTCGCCTCCTCAGTCACATCTAATGACAGCAAGCCACCTGTGCAGGGAGTTCCCCGCCCTGCTCTCCGCTGCTGTGGAGCCCAGCCTTTTCCCCAGGTAAGGCCACCCTCTCCCTTCTCTACATCTGTGTCCCTTGAAGTAGAACATGTGTATAAAAGACATGCATGCTTCTATAAAAATTATTAATTTCTTTCAAGAAATGTCTCCAGCTGCCCAGCTGCTTCTGCAAGGAGATGCCATCGTCTGCTGGCCCATCTAAGCATCAGGAGCCAGATGTCCTGGGCAGACACTGACGGTGACCTTTGGCCACATCTGGCCAGGGCCTTTGGAGCCTCCTGCAGGCCGGGCATCCACAGTGGCAGGTGAGTCCTGCCCCAATCATCCCCCGACGTGGCTCTCTCCTCGGCCTCCAGGCCCTGCTCACCCCTGGTGCTGCCCAGGGTGTCCGCCCACAGGGACCTCAGCCGGGGGAGCCAGGGCTGCTGCCCCGCATGCCGCCTCACTGAGTCCTCCCAGGCCTGTGTCAGGGAGACACCCTGGACGGGGACGCCTGTGCCTGCCCCGGGCCAGGAGCCACCAGCAGGAGAGGTCTGCCACAGGGGGGAAGCGGGGGCCGATTCTGGGTTTGCCTATGCAGGTTTGGGCAGAGGCTTGGGGCCTGCGACAGGCTGGGTCCAGGGCCGTCAAACGGAGGCTGTGCACACTCAAGGCGGACTTCCAGGGCCCAGGACTCCTCTGGACACAGAATCCGGCACGCTGGGGCCGCAGAAGCCATCAGCAGGCTGTCCTGTGGGCTGCATCCAGGAGCTGGCGCTGGGCCAGAGGCACCCCCAGCGGGAGCGGGCAGGAGTGGTACAGGCCAAGGACAGCCCCCAATGCCCCCCTAGGCCCTGAACTGAGGTCTCAGGCTGCTAAGGCCAAGGCCAGCCCCAGTCTCCTCTGAGGGCCTGGAGACTGCCTGCACCTGCAGACGTGGGGCTCCAGCTCCCCAAGGGCCTCCCAGTTGGCTGCTGGGCAGACGCACGCTGTTGTCCACCAGGTGTTCAGGCAGATGAAGCCCCCACACTTGTCCCTCTGTCTGGTTTGATGGCCAGGCCTGGCTGGGGTGGACGGCAGCTCTGGGATCTTCCTGCTGTGCCACCTGGTCAGCCGTGCAGGTGGCAAGGTGGCCGGGGCCACGTCTGTAGTAACTCGCCTGCTCCCTGGTCTCCCCTCCCCTCCCTGGTTGCCTCACCCCATCACTGGAGAGGGGGCACTCACTGGTCTGGGCAGGGGTCAGTGCCAGCAGATGCACTTGGGGTTTCATAGGGGCCACGCTGCCATGCCCCTGGCCGTGCCTGTGCCCCTGGTGGGGCCTCACACTGCTGGGCTCCTCACCCAGCCCCGGCTGAGGCCCTGCATGGAGCCGCAAGGGGCAGAGGCTGGTGCCAGCTCCCCCACTGTCTGCTGTGTGACCCAAGCCAGATCCTCCCCTTTCTGATCCCAGTCCCTTGTCTGTGAGGGGTTGAGCGCAGCATCTGGGGTGGGGGCAACGAGTGGCCAGTGTCACCTGGGCTGCTGGTTTCAGACACATGGTCCCCTCGGCCCAGACACAGCCAGGCCTGGACCTGCCTCCAGGAGACCTATGTCGGCTCCTGGCAGTGCTCCTGAGGGTTCCAGCAGGAGCCTCCCGCGGCAGCTGACTCCCCTCGGCCCCCAACAGCACAGCCGGTCAGGAGTGGGGGCAGGGGGGCTCACCTTCTCCAGTTTGGAAAGAGCCAGAGAGTAGCTGTCCTTGGCTCGGAACTGCATGAACCGCATGTTGGAGGGGTGGGTGAGCTCCGTGGTAATGCTCAGGCTGGGGAAGAGCCTGGGGGAGGGGGTCTGTGGTCATGGGCGGGGAGGGGTCAGGGCGGCCCCTGCACAGCGGCACAGCTGCCCCGCTGAGCGCCCCGAGCCCCCGCACCGGAACATGGTCTGCACATTGACGATGGTCTTGGCGTCGGCCATGTAGTCCTCCTCGGCGCTCATGGTGCTCTCCTTGTCCACCACCACCAGGTTGTCGGCGTAAATGACACCACACTGCAGCAGGCTGTCCAGGCTGGGTGAGAGAGCCACGTGGCCAGGGGCCCCTTGGGCCCGGTCAGAGGTCCCAGGAGGTCCCCTTGGGTGCGCCTCGCCCTGCCCCCATCCCTGTGGAGCGACCACCTGGCCTCCCAGGAGGAGGGCATGGGGAGCCTCTTAGAGAAGGCAGACGCCCCCTCCCACCCTGGTCTCTGCAAGGAGGCCACACGGCCCAGCGCCTTACTTGTCCACGGAACCCTCCATGTAGTAGACCATGGGGAAGCAGCAGATGGCCTCCAGGAAGTGGCGGTCAGGCCTGTGCAGACAGCAGGTCCTGGAGGCACTGTCCTGCCCTGCCGCCCACCCCATGCCCAGCCTGGGACCTGCCTATGAGCAGGGACCCCCAGGCCCATGGCACATCAGACCTGGGGGCCTTTGGAGGCCAGTGGGGCTGTTCTCTTTTCCACTCCAGGGGAGACCGAGGCTCTGGTGGGGGAACTTGCCCAGGCAGAGACCCTGGGCTCTGGGCTGCCAGGCCTCCTAGGGGCTCACAGGCTTAGGGGCCAGCTGGGACAGGAGAGGCCTTGAGGGAGGAAAATGTAGGACAAGCAGCATGGCCCGGGGCCATGGGAGACAGAGCCAGGCAGGGGTCGTGGAGCAGCGGGAAGGGGCCAGCAAGGGCCCTGGGGCCCGCCCAGGGTGGCTGAGCCCTGCATGTTCTGGGCGGGGCCGGCCCTCACTTGTTGTCCAGCAGCAGCACGATGGGGTTGAGCTCCCGGCGGGGCCTGTAGTAGGCCCGCAGTGGCACGATGAAGTTGTACAGCCCGTTGCCTGCCGTCTCTGCCGAGACGATGATCAGCTTGTTCTTGAAGCCGTAGGCCTTGGCGTCCTCATAGCTGTTGTGCTTGCAGCCCTGCGGAAAACGTGTCAGACCCAGGGCTGGCTCCCTGGGACCCCTCGCCAAGCGCGCCCAGGAGCAGGGTGGACAGCCCCTCGCCCCAGTCCTCTCCTGGCCTGCATGAGCCCCCCGGGAGCGCCAGGCCTGCGGACCACATCAGCCTGCCATACACGGCAGAGCGGTGAGCAGGGGCTGTGGCAGGGGACAGTCACGTCAGGGTGGGAGGTGGGTCTGTGCCAACACGAGGTTTCAGCCGGTGCAGAAGCAAACAGAACATGGTGTGCACGTGTGTGCATGTTTTGGGGCTCTGTCCACTGGGAGGCCCAGGCACTATGGCGCCCTGCAGCAGGGGGCCCAAGAGCCCGGTTCTGGGTTCTAAACGTCACTCTCCTCTGAGAGGAATCAGGGCTCCTTGGAGGAGGGTGGGTTCTGGCCCCAGAGCAGGACAAATACAAGCTGCGGTGGAACACTGAGTTCGAAAGCACGGCTGTGCTTGAAGGATGACGGGACGCGTCAGGAGGCCCTGGCCGCGGCCTGAGGTCCCCCCAAACCGGAAAGCTCGAGTGTTGTCAGTAACGATCTGGAGTGAGCGACCCCACAGCAACCGAGGGTCCCCCCCTTGGGATGGAAGGCTGTGCGGGCCACACCAATCTACGCGACGATGAAATCGGGGGTGCAGGAGGGGAGACACCTCCTCAAGCCATCTGCGGGCCGGGATGAGCAGTGGGGAGTGGATGCAGAGTGGTCCGTTCACCTGCTCTCATGCGTCGCCCACAAATGCCTCACCACAGAGGCAAAAACAGTGCTTCCAGCGGCGGAGCGACCTAGGTGTGCCACTGTGCCCCATGGTCCCGCTAGCCCACCAGGGACGGGGCAGACCGACGTCTGTGCCTCTTGAGGGATGCACCTTGTCTCCGGCGTTACAGCCCAAACGCACACCCACAAGCCCGCCCAATCCCCGAGCTTAAAAACTCCAAGGCCAAGAGCCCCAAGGGGACGTTGGAGAACCTTCCAGAATGAGGGAGGCCACGAAGTGCAGAGAGCTCCCAGGACTGCCCTTGACGGGCACGGGGCTGTGAAGGGCAGTGGGGGCTGACCTCACTGTCAGGGAGCTCGCACATGTCGGCACGGAGGCTGCACCCCTTCGAAAGCGGCAGGGACACCATCCGAGGAGGACCAGGGCAGGTGCAAATGGGCGAGTTGTGGGCTGCAAGCCAGGGTCCATTTCCTGGACTCCAGGCCTGTTCTGGCAGCTTTTCCTAAGTTTGCAACCAGATCAGGACACGAGGTCCAGCAGACCATGGCTGCATGCCACCCACCTTGTCCAGCCGCAGGCAGCAGAAGGGGGCTTTCACGGGCAGAAGGTGGCACAGCGTTGGGGAACTGCCAATGTAGGGCGAGTTGGGGGGGTAGCCCTTCATGTACCTGGGGTGGGAGACGGAAGCCTTCAGCTCAGTGCCTGCCTTCTTTGGGCCGGGCAGGAGCCAGAGCAGCCAGGACCACCCCAGCACCCAAGTGGCAGGAAGCGCTCTGAGCCTGGGCCCACCAGGGTCCCACCCGGCCCTCCAGCAGGCCTGCGTGTGCTGCAGACCCTGAGGGCCTGTCCCTGCCCCACACCACATGTGAGGGGTCCTGGCTGCTGTTCCCCAAGCCCAGGATCCGGTGGTCAGCCCCTTGGCCCCTGCAGGGCGGGTCAGGGGAGGACTGTGCTCCTACTGCTGCTTGTTCCCTGCGGGTCTGGGCTGACGCCATGCAACAGGCACACACATAGACACGTGTGGACGCACACAGGTACGTACACAGCACTCTGACACACACACAAGCTTAGGCCACGCTTGGAGGCCATGGGCATGACCCTAAGGGGCTCTGGGAGCACAGTCAGTCCCTGCTGAAGCCCCAGCACCCGGCTGTGGCAGATGCTGGCCCCTGGCCCCTTACCCACTTACTGCCCCCGGCCAGGCTGGGCTCCCAGGCAGGCTGCTCCCCGGGCCTCCAGCAGGGCCTGCACTCTGGCAGCCGCCCTGGGTAGAGCCCGGCTTTCGGGAGCACCTGTTGGGGTCCCCAGGAGGTTCCATTTGCCAAAAAGGTCTGCGAAGCTGTTTGGAAGCCACATTTCAGAGCACAGGGTAAGACCCAGGACTGCCACCCGTGGGAGCCCAGTGTCCACACCAGCCTGCCCCGCCTCTCCCCTGGCGTATCGCTCTCACAGGGACACTGCCTTTCCTAAGAGCCAGGCACAGCGCCAGCCCCGCACCTCCGTCCAGCGGCCCATTTCCTCCCCACCTGCCAGGAGCATCTGTCCCCACAGACGGCACTCACTCTACCACAGACAGCCCCCCGCCGTCCAACGGAGCCACCTCGTCCTCCGACGGGTCGCTCAGCAGGTCACAGGGCAGCAGGGCTGAGCTGTCAGCCAGTTCCAGGACAGGTGCGATGCTGGGCCGCCGGCTGCCTGAGCCGTTCTCTGTGGGTGGCACCAGCTTGCCGTCCCCACTGCTCGGTGCCGGCCGGCACTCCGTGTTCTGAAGGTCCATGGCCACTGTTCCTGAAACGTAGCGCTGACCTTGGCTGGCAGACCCCCACTGGCTCTCGGGGGTGGCTGGGTCCCAGGGTGGGGCTGGACACAGGCTCCCAGGGTCCCTGGTGCAGGGCAGCCTCAGCGGGGGCAAGGCACTTGGAGGCAGATGCCGACACGGGCCCCGAGGAGCCGGGCTGCGGGCCTCACCCACGGAGGCGAGGATGCTGTGCACTGGCAGGTGGGAGGGCCCCTCGCTCAGGCCCGGCCCCGCACGGCTTCTCCTGTGGTGCTTCTCCTCCTGCCTGAAGATGAAGGCCGAGTTCTCTTCCTTGGTGATGTTGATGTAGAAGCAGGTGTCGGATGCAGCCAGGATGTGCCGGGGCCCCGGGTTCAGCAGGATGTTCCGGTCGTCCTCCCGCTTCAGCCCGATGAGGCACACGCCGTACCTGGGAGCAGCAGGTGGCTCGAAGGGCACCCCTCTGGCCCCCGGGAGCCTCTGGGTGCACGGCCTGGCCGCTCTCCTGGGCTTCTTGGAGGCTGGCCTGCAGGGACCTCATGTGGCACCCCCAGGGCCCAGCCCTCCACCCTCTTGACCCAAAGGCCCCAGGCTGCCCGCCCACCAACGGCCGTACTTCTTGTGTGCGTGGAAGGCCGCGAAGCTGAAGCTCTTGCCCTGGTACTCCCGGAAGAACTTGCTGTCACCGGTGCGCACGTGGTACACCTCGTTGCCCGAGCAACGCCCATACATGCGCTGCCACTGCTCTGGGGACTCCTGGCCCTCCCTGCACAGGCGGGTGGCAGGGGTCACCATGGGGGCCGCCAGAGCCCCGCCACACCCATCTCTACTTCTGCTGGACGGATGGAGGCCAGGGACGGCCGCCCTGCCTGTCTGGGCCTGGGGGCCCAGTTTTGGAAAGCCGTACAGTGGGGGCCAAGACTGGTCTCAGGGGCCTGTGGGTCCTCTTCCGAGCCCATCTGGGGTCTCCCTCCCTGGCCTGGTCCCTGTCCTAGGGCTACCCAGTCCCCCAAGGAGCCATGTCTAGGGTGCCCAGCCCCCCAGCCCAGTCTCCCCAGATAGAAGACGGTACCCCTTCCCCGTAAAAGATGGTACCCCTTCCCCATCCTGAATCTGCCCGGAACCCTCACTGAGGTGCCGAGGACCAAACCAGCTTGTCCCGCAAACCCCAGGGCTGTCCCGGCCCGCACCTGGCCCTCAGCTCCCAGCCCGGCCTGCACCCCTGCGGCCTCTTGCACACGTTTGCCTGCTGTGTGCCCCGCCCCCATGGTGTCCAGGGCCCCTGTGCCCCGCCCCCGCTCTGGGGCCTTGGGGGCCCGGCACTCACTGGCCGCGGGACGTGTGTACCAGCAGGGTGACGAGGGTGGACGTGGCCGGGCAGATGCAGTTCAGGGCCAGCATGGCAAACTTGCACTCCTCTTCGCACACCACGTGGTCTGCAGGCAGGAGGGTCCGGTGGCCCGCCCAGGCCTGGAGCCCCTGCAGATGCCCCCACCCAGTGCCTCCCCAGGGCCCCCTTGTTGCCAGCACCCACCCAGGGAGCCTCCCCACTCTCCTGGTGCTTCTGTGTTCTCCCAGCCTGACAGGCTCTCCGCCAGGAGCCCTTCACAGACGAGCTCAGGCCCTGGCGCCAGCCCTCGGGACTCACCCCCCTGCAGGACCCGCCTGGGCTGCACCTCCCCACCCAGCGTCCGTCCTCATGCGTCCTGTGCTCCGTGCGCTCTGGGTACTCAGCCTTCCAAGGTGCACATGCCCCTGGTGTGCCTACGTGGACCCTGAATTACCTGCGAACTTGACGTGAAATTTGTTCTCGGGCTTGAGGATCTGGACGTAGAGGGGGCAGTTGGGGGCAAAGTCCTTGACAGCCCAGGCGCGCAGGATGGTCTGGTGGTCCTGGGGGGGGGGGGGGGCGTGCTCTGGGGTGGCGGCAGCAGCCCGCTGGGAGGAGGGGCACGTGCGGGCACAGCTGCGGGCGGACTCCCCCAGGGCTGGAGCACTCACTGCGGCCGTGCGATCCACCTCGTTCCGGCTGCTGAGGATGAAGCAGGCCTCCCCGTTGTCCATCCTGCGGAGACTAGGTCAGAGTGCTGCCCGGGCCACCACGCCGCTGTCCAAGATGTCAGGGGCTCGGAGCAGCAGCTGGAGGGGGGTCCCGTCGAGGCCCCACCTCACCTGTGCTGACGACCCGCCCAGCCCCTGGGGTGCCTGTGCTTTGCACCCTCATTAACCCAGGGCAGAGGGACTAGAGCACTCGGCAGATTCTGGACCCTACCTGCTGGCCTAGCCCTTTGTCTGGGGACCTGGAGAAACTGTCCACTCATGGCCCAGGGCAGGGAGACCTGGCCTGTCCCTGTCCAGCCACTACCCCTCTGCACACTTGGGGCCTGGAGCTGGGCAGTGGGTCACAAGAGAGCCTGGGTCCCTGGCCACTGCCGCCTCCTCTGGTCCGTTTCCCCAGTTTGACAGGCGAGACAGTGGGGCCCTGGGCTCAGGAGGGGTCAGGACCAAGCTCCCAGGCCCCCGCTTCCCCTGGTCCTGCACAGCACCACATCCTACCACAAAGGGAGAACAGTGCTCCTGGGACGAAACATGACACGGGGGGTCTCTGGGTTGTCCCTGTGCTGCATGTTCTGGAAAGTTCCACCTGACAACTAGCCTTCTTAGGTCATTGTCAGCTTGTGTTTAAAAGAAAACTAGCCTCACCCGCATCTTCGTGCCTGACGTGGCAGTGACTGTCTACCCCCACTCCCCTTGAGCCTCTCCTAGAAGCTGGCACACAGCACCCCAGACGCTGAGCAGTGGAAGGGCAATCCTGTAAGGTGGACCCTGGCTGGGCCTATGGGAGGCAGAGGAGTCAGGGTGTGTCCTGGGGGCTGTGGGCTTCGAGCTTCCCCCACTGCAGTGGCCCATCCCCACTGGCATTGTGCCCACCTGGCCCACCCTCAGGCCGCTGCCTAGACAGGCTCAGGGCCCCTTGTCCCCAGCCGGCACCCACTTAGCTCGCATGAGGTCCTGGTCCTTCAGCGCAGAGCCCTGGAGGTAGATGACCCGCTGGGACCACAGGGGTATCTGCAGGACCCTGCGGACCTGGATGTCCATCTCCGTGGGGCACAGGATGACCACGTAGTAGTCCTGTGGGGGGGCTGGGATCAGCCCATGTGAGCCACCCTGCTTCCTGAAGTTTGCATGCCCACCACCCTGCCCGAGGCCCAGACTTCCCTGTGATGGTGTATCTGACAGGATGGGGGGCAGGACCCTCAGCACTCCCCCCACAGGATGGGAGACCCTGGCCAAGCATCAGGGCCGGCTTGGGGCAGGCCTCACCTGGAGCCGCGGGTGGGCATAGAACTCATTCAGGAAGTCCATGAGCAGGTCGATCTTGAGGGAGCTGACACACAGGACCACGTGCTTCTCCGTCTGTGCCCGGTGGCGGCTGTAGTTACCCCCAGACTTCTGCCGCTCCATCCACAGGTAGACCAGCTCTTCAAACTGCAGGTGCGAGCAGGTGAGGGCCAGGTGGGCGAGGCATGTGGCCGGAGACACTGGGGGTCCTTTTCCTTGTGGGAACCCAGATGTGAGAGACCCAGACAGTGCAGAGGGGGGAGGAAGCTGGCAGCACATGCAGGGCTCAGGGAGGAGGGCAGCCATCAGGGCCGGTGCGGGCCGGGATGGAGCCCCATCCCCACCACAGCTGCGGATGGAGGTGCCCGTGCGGGGGCCTTGGGGGGCGTGTGGGGCAGCGGCACTGCCAGCTCCTGGCCCCTGCAGACCAGGCGGCCACTGCTGGGGGCCTGGTCTGCCCTCTGGCCGGCCTGTGGTCCCCATCAGCAGTGGAGACCTCTTGTGGATAAACCTGGACCCGTCTTAGGAAGTTCTCAGCTGCAGAATCAGGCAGCCAGGCTCCTGGCCTGGAGGGGCCCCCAGGCCCGTGACCGTGAGCCAACACCCTGCGTTTGGTGTCTGAAGCTGCAGGGCTGGGGCTGCCATGCCCCTGGTCCACACTTTGTGGTCATGAGCTGCGGGCGCCCGGCTGGGCCCTGGCTCTGTGAAGCTGTCTGGGGTGCTGACTGGCCAGGGCCACTCACCCAGCTCTGACTCCATCTGGAGCTGATGGCTGGGCTCTGGGATGGGCTTGGCTATTTCTGTCTCAAGTGTTGGGGCCACTCATTTATTTTACGCAGTTTAAGGGGAATGGAGCAGCCACCCTCTATGGCCCTGGGCCCCGTGCCTGTGTGTCTTTGAAAGAAGATCATCTCAGAGCTTATCCAGCACCGACTAGGTTCTAGTGATGACCCTCTGGAACAAGACACCGCTGGGATGTGCCCAAGTCCCCAGGGTGGTTCTTGAGGCCCCTGCAGGATGGGGACCCTGACGGCAGACACCCTGGGCTCAAGCCTTACCTGTCATAGGTGTGTGGCTCTGGGTCTCCTTCATTTGCACAAAGGCACGATGGTGCGTGCCCCCCAGGGCTGTGCGGTGATAAACGACCTAACTGTGCAGGGTTCAATAGTGACCCCCAAGTTCAGGTCCACCTGGAGCTGTGAATGGGACCTTCTTTGGGAATGGGGTCTGTGCAGATGTAACTGGTTGAGATGAAGTAAGATAGGACTAGCCCTAAATCCAAAAGCTGGTATCCTTCTAAGGAGTGGACGGGACACAGAGAGACAGGAAGAAGCCATGTGCCAATGGAGGCAGACATGGGGGTGCCACAGAGTGCTGGCTCCACACCTGTAGAGAGGCCTAGGATGGGCCACTCCCCATGGCCTCCAGAACGGGGTTGGGGAGTACGTGTGCCACTTTGAGCCTGCTTTGAGGGCTTGTCATGGCAGCTGAGCACATATGTGCACACTGGCCTGAGCCTGGGCACTGGGGGTCCTCACTGTTACCTGGGGAGGCGCACCCTCCAGGAGGCATTTCGGGTTTTCAGGGCACCAATGGCGAATGTAGTTGAAGGGGAGGATAGAGAGAGAGGAACTGGGATCAGTGCTCCTTATCACTGTGAGCTACTCAGTCTTTCCAACCGACGAGGAGGTGCTAGGAGCTCCCTGCTGCCTGCCGCCACCGTCCAGGGTGAGGACACCCGTGGGCGTGCACACAGGGCGACAGCCCCCAGCCCTGGGGCCCATTCTCCTGATGTGGTTCCTGAGTGGGACAGACATTTTTTGCATGCTTGGAAAAGTTCAGAACAGTAATGTAAAAATTAAACTTTAAACTGAAAAAATAGAAATAAATATAATTCATAATTTAAAACATTAAACAAGTGGTCACATTCATAACTTATACTTATGTAATCTAAAAATGCAACTTAAAAATGTAATGAAAACTACATGCAAGAGAGTGAAACTGGATCACTGTCTAACCCCACACACAAAAGTAAACTCAAAATGGATCAAAGACCTGAATGTAAGTCATGAAACCATAAAACTCTTAGAAGAAAACATAGGCAAACATCTCCTGAATATAAACATGAGCAACTTCTTCCTGAACCCATCTCCTCGGGCAAGGGAAACAAAAGCAAAAATTAACAAATGGGATTATATCAAACTAAAAACTTTCTGCACGGAAAAGGACACCATCAACAGAACAAAAAGGCATCCTACAGTACGGGAGAATATATTTGTAAGTGGCATATCTGACAAGGGGTTAATATCCAAAATACATGAAGAACTCACATGCCTCAACACTCAAAAAGCAAATAACCCGATTAACAAATGGACAGAGGATATGAAGAGACAGTTCTCCAAAGAAGAAGTTCATATGGCCAACAGGCACATGAAAAGATGCTCCACATCGCTAGTCATCAGGGAAATGCAAATTAAAACCACAATGAGATATCACCTCACACCAGTAAGGATGGTCACCATAAAAAAGACTAAGAACAACAAATGCTGGTGAGGATGTGGAGAAAGGGGAACCCTCCTACACTGCTGGTGGGGATGTAAGCCAGTTCAACCATTGTGGAAAGCAATACAGAGGCTCCTCAAAAAACTAAAAATAGAAATACCATTTGACCTGGGAATCCCACTCCTTGGAATTTACCCAAAGAATACAACTTCTCAGATTCAGAAAGACATATGCACCCCTATGTTTATCACAGCACTTTTTACAATAGCCAAGAAATGGAAGCAACCTAAGTGTCCATCAGTAGATGAATGGATAGAGAAGATGTGGTACATATACACAATGGAATATGATTCAGCCATAAGAAAGAAACAAATCCTACCATTTGCAACAACAGATGGAGCTGGAAGACATTATGCTCAGTGAAGTAAGCCAGGAGGAGAAAGACAACTGCCAAATGATGTCCCCCATTTGTGGAGTATAAGAACAAAGCAAAACTGAAGGAACAAAATGGCAGCAGACTCGCAGACCCCAAGAAGGAACTAGTGGTTACCAAAGGGGAGCGGTGGGGGAGGGTGGGTGGGGATGGAGGGACAAGGGGACAGGGGGGCATTATGTTTAGTGCACATGGTGTGGGGGGGGTCACACGGAGAGCAGTGTAGCCCAGAGAAGGCACATAGTGGATCTGTGGCATCCTGCTGCACTGATGGACAGTGACTGCATTGGGGTGTCGGGGGGGACTCGATAATATGGGTAAAGGTAGTAACCACATTGTTTTTTCATGTGAAACCTTCATAAGAGTGTATATCAATCATACCTTAATAAAAAAAAAGTATAATGAAAACACATAACTTAAAAAATAATACAAATTTAAAAATCTAAAAAATATTAAAAATGCAATTTAAAAAACAATGGTATAAAAATATAATACAGGAGAGAACCAAGATGGCGGCGTGAGTAGGACAGTGGGAATCTCCTCCCAAAAACATATGTATTTTTGAAAATACAACAAATACAACTCTCCCTAAAAGAGAGACCAGAGGACGCAGGACAACAGCCAGACCACATCCACACCTGCAGGAACCCAGCGCCTCGCGAAGGGGGTAAGAAGCCCCGGCCCGGCGGGACCCAAGCGCCCCTCCCCCCAGCTCCTGGCGGGAGGAGAGGAGTCGGAGCAGGAGGGGGAGGGAGCCCAGGACTGCTGAGCACCCAGCCCCAGCCATCCGCACCAGAGCACAGACACAGTGCGTGTGTGGGGTGCTGGAAACTAGGGAAACAGGGCAGCAAGACCTGTGGGCGGGTCCCCGCAGTTGGCGCACCCAGGACAGAACCCCCCCGCAGCATAGCTCGGAGGCCCCTCACTGCGATAAACAGCCTCCCACCCGTTCCCCCTCCAACGCGGCTCCGCCATATCAGAGCAGCAGCCTGAGGCTGGCCATGCCCACAGCAACTGCAGAGCTAAATAAACTCCATAGTGGCTGGGCAAGATCAGAAGCCCCGTCTGCGCGCAGCTGCCCAGCACGAGCCGCTAGAGGCCGCTGTTCTCCCAGGAGAGGAAGGCCACAAACTGGCAAGAAGGGACTTTCTCTTACCAACACACACGCCAGCTCCCCACAAATATATCTATCGCCATGAAAAGGCAGAAGGCAGAAGAAATTGATGCAGACCAAGATCACAGAGGCAAACCCTGAGGAGACAGACCTAACCAGTCTTCCTGAAAAAGAATTAAAAATAAAGCTCATAACCATGCTGATGGAGCTGCAGAGAAATATGCAAGAGCTAAGGGATGAAGTCCGGAGGGAGATTACAGAAATGAAACAATCTC